CGCCTCCCTCGGTGGCTTAGTGTTGCCTCGCCTGACAAACCAAGTCGCCTTGAAAACCCATGACCATCCACACCCGAATTTTCCTAACACAGGAGGGGGCGCTTCTTGCCTCCCTCGGCGGCCTAGTGTCGCCTCACTAGATGGATCAAGTCGCCAAAAAACTCTTGACCACCCAACCAAAAATCGCCTAACACGGGAGGGGGCACTTCTTGCCTCCCTCGGTGGCCTAGTGTTGCCTCACCAAACGAACCAAGTTGCCCAAAAACTCATGACCACCCAACCCAAAATCGCCTAACATGGGAGGGAGCGCATCTCGCCTCCCTCGGTGGCCTAGTGTCGCCTCACCAGACAAACCAAGTTGCCCAAAAACTCATGACCACCCAACCCAAAATCGCCTAACACGAAGGGATGCATCTCGCTACCTCGGTGGCCTAGTGTCGCCTCACCAGACGAACCAAACCAAACTCAGTGAGCAGCCTTTACATAGTTGCAGGGAAATTTTCTACTACTAGCTTCTTGGTTTTTTTTTGCCTCCCTTTCTTTTATGTTCTTGTAAGCATCTAGACTTCAACTACAAGCTTTTTATTTTGCGAGCAACTACAAATACATTATTGGCCATTTTTGTCTTATGGACACCCAGCCCAAACCAGGGAGACACGGTAGCAAGACACATGCACGCTGAAAGAAACCAAATACAGTTGGAAAAGATAGCATATGTTTTACAAGTTAATCTTTAATGAAAGAGCAAATTAAACTACATGTTAATCATAGTGGAAGAGCAAACTGCACTGCACTAACAACAGAAACTTGTCTTTCCGGAATAGTAGTTCAGTCAAAAAGGAACGTGATATATTCTTCTTTTGTAGTGGGATTGCAGAACATTGCGTTTATAAGCAGCCATACATCATGAATAGTTATAGATTTTAAAGATTTTCAGAATACTGTGTTTACCAGAATAGATTAAGCAAGCAGAAAGCAGAGGATTTTAAAATCTACAAAATAGTCACTTAAGCCATACATAGCTACTTTTGTTCCATGAGCAATAGCAATTATAATGGAAATTAATGACTCGGACTGAGGAACATACCACAGATACAAGCATCCGTGTACATTAAACTGAGGAACATACAATGGGTTTTTTTGCCTACCCTTTCTTGTGTGTTCTTCTAAGCATCTAGACTTCAACTACAAGCTATTTGTTTCGTGAGCAACTACAAATACATTATTGCCCATTTTTAACTATGCACAGATTGCCTACACAGATTACCAACACACAATAACTCTGCTTCTTTTTTTCTGTTCTTTTTTTTTGCAGACACAAGGTGCAAGACAATAGAGAAGATGCAATTCAAGAGTCAACAACTTTTATCTATAATCCAGTTCTACAGGGTACAGGGGAGACAAGATACAAGTCAAGGTCTGCAACACTTTTGTACAGGGGGGCAATTCTTGCAACTAGAAGATTAGGGGGGACGGAGGTACAGAGAGGGAAATCAACTAGTTTTAGCAGTAAAAGAAGTTCATGGCCAGAAATTTCTGGAACAACACCTTTTTTACCTTCCCTGTTTTCACTGGGGGAAACTTGCCCAGCTACACCAATTCTCTTGCCCACAATTCTCCAGATTTATTGCCTGATCAGCATGAAGAATTGCAGACACATTTTTTTGGGCGTGTTCTGATCTTTTTTCTCCACGATTTTGTGCCTTGATCTCTCGCCCTTTTTACTTCTGTTTTTTCGCTGTGGGAGGAGAGCTCACCAAACGCTAGGCATTGGCGTCTGGCGGCGGCTGGGGGGAAGCAGTCGCACGGGGGATCTGGTCTGGTGGGGCGTAGGATTTTCTGGTGGTGGGTGCGAAAGAAGGATCACGTGAGGGGATGGTTGTCGGGACCTGGCAACGAGAAGTGGAAGGCTTGCCTTTTTCACACATGGACGGGGGACCGACAGGGATGCACCTTCCATAAATACCGGCCGCGAGCTCAGCCCGCATAGCGCGCGGGCGCTGTGTAGCACCGTCCAATAATAAAAGGTGTCACACACGCACACGCAGCACACAGGCTTAGCAGAAAAGCAGAGGATGGCAAGCGGGCGAGCAGCAGCAAGCAGTGTCCCCGGATCTGACGGTGGTTTGCCTCCCCGCCGTCGTTGCGCTGCCTCGCTTTGCGGGCGTGGCGGCGTGCCGGGGCAGGGAAAGGAGAGAAGCAATGCTGCCGGCCGATTCTTCGCCGCGCCGGCGCGGAGGGGCAGCGTGGAGGGAGAGGTTCGGCGGGAAGGGAAGTAGTGGCGCTGCCGGACGCCGCCGCCGCGCGTCTGTTCGGGAATCGGAGGAAACGGCGCTCGGGAGTGTGGGCCGGGCCGAGGAAACGGCCCGCAGGCCCGAAGCCCAAAGCCCTGGACGGCGATGGTGTCAGGCACCTTGAAATACCCCCGCCTTGGCGTTGGCGCCCGGCGTAACCGCCTCAACCAACAGCCAGCAGCCAGAGCTCGCCGGAGCCCCAAGAAACCCCTCCTCCCGTCTCCCGCCACCGCGCAGCAGCGCCCACCGCCGGCGACCGATGGACAAGTTCCACGACAGGCAGTACGTGTGGCTGCGGAGCCGCGTGCACGGCACGTACCTCCACGCCAACATCGACGGGAAGAGCGTCTCCCTCCACCGGCGCCGCGCAGCGCTGAGGGCGGCCTGGGCGGTGCACATCCACCAAGGCGACGAGCCGTACCTGCTCCTCTACAACGCCGCCAACGGCCGCTACCTCGCCGCCACGGCCACGCGGGCGCCGCCCGGCCACATCGGCTTCCGCGCCGAGCAGCGCGACTACGACCAGCCGCAGTTGCCGGCCATCATGTGGCGGGCCGCCGAGACGGGATTCAGGGACGACGTCCTGCTCCGCAACGTCGGCGGCCGCTACCTCCGCGCCAACGGCAAGTACACTGGCAAGTACCTAAGCCTGAAGAACGTCACCGTCGACGGCATCAACAACGTCAGCACCATGATGTACTGGACCGTCGAGCCTATCCCTCTCAGAGACCCGAACAGTCCGCTCGGCCTAGCTCCGCCGACTCTGGTGAGTTCGCCGGCCATGGCCCGTCTTGAATTTCTTTCGGCGGATTGAGCGAATTGGGTTAATTTGCACCGAGAGATTGTGAGTTGTGTTAATTTGTTGCCAAATTTGTGCAGTTCTTGCCGTTGGTTGCCAACTCTGCTTCTTGATCTCCTGAACATAAAAATGACCATGGCTTTCTGCGACTCGACTGCAGGGCCGCAGACCCCGAGAGCTCCCCGACATGCTGGGACGCGAGCGAGGGGTGCGGCGGCTGATCCGGTTCGTGCGAGCGAGCGCCGAGGGGGCCGTCGCCGAGGACGGCTGGTCCGAGTTCCATTTCACGGGGAGGTCCGTGTGCGAGCTGAGGAACGAGCTGTACAGCCGCATCGGCCCCCACCGCCACCCCCACCCCGACATCCTCCCCTTCGACATCGCCATGTGCGTCCGAGCGGGCCGCTACGGGCGTTTGATCCCGCTCGTCGTCAACCTGCCCCACGGACGCAACGGCGAGACCCTCCAGATTGTCCTCTGCCTCTCCAGGACCCCTGGTGAGAGCCACTTCGTAATGATCTCCTGATGCTAGTCTTTGACTGAATTTGTTGCGCACGATGTACAGATTTAGGTGTTTGTATTGTTTTAGTGGGTGTTAAACTGCTTGTGCTTGAAAATCAGTTTACTTAAACTGTTATAGTCTGAGAATCTGTTTACTGAAATTGTTGTAGGCTGAAAAGCAATTAAGTGAAACTTTTAGGTGTTTGGAATTGTCTGAAGCTGTTGTTGTCTTGCAGTTTATTGTTCATTCACAGCATCCTTGATATGGAAAATGTTGGTTTCGTACTACTTTCCTTGATTCAGATAATTTAGTTCCTCTATTTGGTGCTGTTTGCCCCCAGTAAAAACCACGGAACTGAAATAGACGAATCAGTTAATTAAATGTCTTTTCAGCCTTAACAAAGAAGATTGTGATATCCGCTTTATTTCATGGAGCCTATTTTACTTGTCTTGAATAACCTGTGAGCACAATTCAGGTTCCTAGAATCTAAATTATATCTAGTTTCTGCACATGAGCTATATTGTTGTCAGGTTTTTTACATCAGTTGTATTATCGGACTTGTCATTTTATTTTATTTTGGAAAACTTTGAGACTTACATTGTTGGTCTGCTTCCTAGTGATCTTTGCCGAGAAATGTACTGCTGGTCGAAACTACTCGTCCCACATTTCTTTTCTTGATTCAGATAATTCAGTTCGTCCTTTTCATAACATCTTGCCGCTATTAGAAATTATGGAACCCAAAAAGGCCAAATCAAGTTCAGTCATCTCGTTTCATCTTTGCATAGAAGATACTAAGTTTCTAACCTGTTAACAAAATGCAGATAGTATCCTACAATAGATAGTGCATAAAAGCTTAGTTCCTTGCAAACTATATTGTTTCAGGTTTTGACTTCTTGATCCTGCCATTTATATTGTTACTGATTAATGGTATAATGCCTAACTGACTCATTATTTTTGCTTATTCAGCCTATGGTAGGCTGCGATACCCGGATGTCCACGCAGAGTAGAGAAAGATCGGAGCAGGAGTCCTGAGAGTTCACCTCCTCAGAATTTTGGCCGCCTTGGACACAATGACAGCAGAACTAGACGCCTACTTTTACATATAGATAGATATAGGTCGAGAAAACTTATGAGCTCTTGTGTTTCTTCAGCTAGCTAAAACTTGCTCTGTTTCGTCGACGTGGCAGGGGCCTTGCAGTTCTATGATTCAAAACTGTTGAAATCGTTGCCTCCAACAGTTGGAGAGTCACTCTTCTGGCATTCATCTCTGTGGTGCTTCCTGGATGAAAACATTTCTTTTGATGATCTTCCACTTCTTTTGGAAGATGATGCATTGATGCACTTTGTATAAATGAAAAGGCAGTGGTTCCTGCCAGTAATGAGTTGATGATCTTGTGTTTCTGTTAGGCTATGAACTTACTACAAATGCATAATGTAGCGGGTTCTTTCTGTGAGCTCATGATCGTACTTCTAGTTGTGCTGTTTTCTGTGCTGGCAAAGGAGTAGGAAAATGAATTTGTAACGTATGAACAAAATTCAGATTTTATCCAACAGCGCTACAAGAAGAAAACTAACTTCTGCACATTACATTGTTTTCAGGATTTGAACATAAGCTGCCTTCTATTTCTTTCGCTGTTTTGTTTGAGCAGACATAAGTTCAATTCACCGTTTCCAGCTGCATTTCTCTTAGATGAAGCATCTGACATCAACACTGATTTGGTGGCTCCTGCTGTGAGAGTTGAGCACTTGGTGTCCCCCTTTCTAATCCTGTTTGTTGGTTATGTGCAACAGCAGGTCCTTTTGTGGTACTATTCTATTTAGAGATTTACTCTTAAGAAGACACATCATATTTCAGAGAGGTTTATTTTGAAAAATAAACATGCGCAGGGTTTTAGCAAGATTCACCAAAATGAAGCTGTAAGCTTTGCGCTTAGTTACCAAATTGCTAGCATTTGTCAGTAACGTTTTTATCTTCCGAATTGCCGATGATAGTAAGATGACACACTTGGCCCTGGAACACAGTCAGTAACTTTGCAGTGCTCGGTCAGCACTCAGCACAAATGTTGTTATTGCGATTCATATTGATCTGAACTAACAACATTCAGCATGCCAACTATTTCTGACAGAAATTGCAGGGTTTTTTTGTTCTTGGTCCTTGGGGTGTAAAATTCTGAAAGCGGGGAAGACTCTCTGAGATCCTGATAATAGCACTGCAATGAAATTGTCTTTTTTTCTGCTCTAGTCTGGATATACACTGATCAGTGCCGTTTCTGGAACTAAGGAGGCGCTGCAGCGAACTCGGTTAGTTAGATTGCTGTGAATGTATTCTCTGAATTCGTAACCTGGAGGCACCCCACTGTTTGGATGTGGGCACATATATTATCCTTGCAACTATTTAGCTTGCACACGTACGACATACACAACAAGCACAAGATGATGATCATCATGATGTGGTTTCAATATGGTTGGTTGGAGTCGGAGTTAACTCATCGATCGCTAGTTCCTCTGATGCACAGTTTTGGTAGCTGGGCTTCAATTTAGTTGGGCTGTAGAAAAACACAATGGAGACTTGGAATGCAGCTACCACCGACAATGTTTTCAGAACTATATTTTTCTTCAATCAGTACCACTAGTCGCTCCTGTTGCAAATCAGTACCATCTCAGAGCCTAGTCGTTGCAAAACAGGCTGACTACCGTATAAGCGTGTATTGACGTTGTATCTGACCGCCCAGGCCCACCTATCAGGTGACATGCTGGCCAACCGGCGCGTGCCGCTGTGCTGACTAGGACGAGGCCGGCGCGGTCGGTCTAAGTGGGCTCGGCCGGTTCGAACCGGATGACTAACCCTAGTTCTCGTTTCCCCCTCCCTCTCCTCTCCCACTGCGGCTCTCAAGCGATGGTGGCGGCAACTCCCGGCGGCGGTGACGGTGGATGTAGCAGCGGCGGCGGTGTGGGCGGCTACGGCGACCTTCCTGGCCTCGGGAGCGATGCGCACGTCGGTCTCGATGGCTCTAGTTCTTCCTACTACTCCAGCGACGAGGAGGAGGAGCGACAAGGAGGAGGAGGAGGAGGTGCCGTTGTCCATGGAGCAATGGGTGCGGCTGGCTGAGATGTGGGTGGCCAACCCTACCATGAGCCATCAGTGGACCATGGAGCGGATGGATTGCTATAAGTCCCTCCCCTCTCTTGTTTCTGCCATGTTCAAATAGGTGGCTAGGGTTAGTGTTCTAACTATTAAAAAAACACAATTTTGTTGTCACTTGTAGCTTGGATGATGCTATTTGAGATGTTAGGATTCGCTTTGATGCTATGCATAATTTGGATATGAAGAATCACTAGTAGAAAATAGGGCTTTGGTTGAGGCCAGGATAAGGGCATTAATCCCGGTTCATTCACGAACCGGGACCAAAGGGTGCACCAGTCCCGGTTCGTGAGGCCAGGGCGCCGGCCGGGCCTCGGGGGCCACTGGTCCCGGTTCCAAACACGAACCAGGACCAATGGGCCTCCTGGCCCAGCACCTTGAGTCTCGGTTGGTGGCTGGAACCGGGACCAAAGGTTGTCCTTCAGTCCCGGTTTTAGCCACAAACCGGGACTAAAGAGAGGCCTATATATACCCCCCACCCCTGCCCGCGAACAGAGCCACTGCTCAGTTTTTTGGCCGACCGTGGGAGAGGTTTGTGGTGCTCTAGCTCACCTCCTATGCACATGAGGTGTTCGATGAAATGCCCGAGTCACACTTAAGCTTTCTCCTGTTGAAGCTCCTTATTCAAGCTTCATTTTCCTCAAGATTTCTCTAAGTTTGGCGGTCCGTCCTGTCCCGTCCCCATCCTCACCGCCGTCGATCGCTCACATCGATCTCGTCGCCAGCACCACCGTGGTGAGCCTCTTGTTCTTATCTTCTTTCTAAAAGAAAAAAACAATTCTTACTTATGATTTAGATAGATACTTGTATAATATTCTTACTTTTATTATTGTTTGTTATTATATAGTGTGATGGTTTTGGTATTCGCCTCCATCGGCCCTCGTCCTGTCTATGATTTGGATGTGGTATATATTATCTTTTATAACTATTTGTTTCATTTAGTATTTATGACAATTATGCCTACCAACGTGACATAGATGTTTTTATCTAGGAGGTATGTGAACCGGAAATTCCAACCGACCCTATGTTGATAGGTTAAATTTAGTTAAAAAAGAAAACAATTACTTGAAGAAAAAATTGAAAAGAATTGAGGAGAAGATGAAATTGGAGTTGCATGTTGCGGATGTCGTCGATGATCACAAGACTAAGATGGATGCCATGCGCTTGAAGATTAGAAAGATTAGAAAATATGCCATTCATACCGAGGCTTGGTATCATTATGTCGTTGGATCAATTGTTACCTTACTTGCGATTATGATCGCATTTGTTGTTGCATTGAAATGTTTTACATATTTTCAATGTATGGTTTAATTAGATGCTCTAGACAACTATATGTTGTTCAATAAGATCTATGTGTGAACTTTATGTATTTATTTTTTCAGTAATAACATTTGATCACTACTGTACTTTGGTTTTAATGTGATGATGAACTTCTATTAATTTTGTCACTTCTCTATTCATGATGTTCTGTAATGGTTTTTGACACACTTAATTATATATAATGCACGCAGATGAGCCGGCAATGGATGTACGGTGACAGACACACCTTTGAGTATATGAAGGCTGTGCATAATTTTCTCGAAGTGGTTGAGGCAAACAAGCAGAATGGTTTTATGTGTTATACATGCCCTATGTGTGAGAATATATAGTCTTACTCTAACCCGAAAACCCTTCACATCCACCTGCTTGAGAAGGGTTTCATGCCACACTATAATGTTTTGACCAAGCACGGAGAAAGAGGGGTTATGATGGAAGACAACGAAGAAGAAGAGGATACTGACAACTATCTGCCCCCTGAATACGGTGATGCTGCAATGGGGGAAGATGAAGATCAAGAGGAACCAGATGATGTGCATGATGATGATCTTCGTCGGGTTATTTTTGATGCAAAGAGACAATGCCAAAGTGAAAGGGAGAAGTTGAAGTTCGACCGCATGTTAGAGGATCACAAAAAAGGGTTGTACCCAAATTGTGAAGATGGCAACACAAAGCTCGGTACCACACTGGAATTGCTGCAATGGAAGGAAGACAATGGTGTATCTACCAACGGATTTCAGAAGCTACTGAAAATATTGAAGAAGAAGCTTCCAAAGGATAATGAATTGCCTGACAATACGTACGCGGCAAAGAAGGTTCTATGCCCTCTAGGATTGGAGGTGCAGAAGATACATGCGTGCCCTAATGACTGCATCCTCTACTGCGGTGCGTATGAGGATTTGAATGCATGCCCGATATGCGGTGCATTGCGGTATAAGATCAGACGAGATGACCCTGGTGATGTTGATGGCGAGCGCCCCAGGAAGAGGGTTCCTGCAAAGGTGATGTGGTATGCTCCTATAGTACCAGGGTTGAAACGTCTGTTCAGAAACAAAGAGCATGCCAAGTTGATGCGATGGCACAAAGAGGACCATAAGAAAGACGGGAAGTTGAGATCACCCGCTGACCGGTCGCAGTGGAGAAAAATCGAGAGAACGTGGGGGGACTTTGCAGGTGATGCAAGGAACGTATGGTTTGGTTTAAGCGTGGATGGCATTAATCCTTTTGGGGAGCAGAGCAGCAATCATAGCACCTAGCCCGTGACTCTATGTATTTATAACCTTCCTTCTTGGTTGTTCATGAAGTGGAAGTTCATTATGATGCCAGTGCTCATCCAAGGCCCTAAGCAACCCGGCAACGACATTGATGTGTACCTAAGGCCATTACTTGAAGAAATTTTACATTTGTGGAATGGAAAGGGTGTACGTGTGTGGGATGAGCACAAACAACAGGAATTTGACCTACATGCGTTGCTGTTTGTAACCATCAATGATTCGCCTGCTCTCAGTAAACCTTTCAAGACAGATAATTAAGGGATACCACGCATGC